TGAAATGGTACTCAGATTTGTTCAGTGACTTTCCACTGTTAAGGAAGAACACCATTGGACGATAGGGTCATCCTGGAGAAAATATTTAGCTTTTTACAACAGCCAGTATTTCTTATTTGTTGATCATTATATCCAGTCACTTACAATACAGTTAAATACAAATCCCTCCCTTTTAGTGTGAGCCATAACACTAACATTGCATCATAATGGAAAAAAAATTAAGACACGCAAATAAAATTCACTTTGATCTGGTACTTCATTAATAAAAACAAAAATAAAATTTGTTGGGGGTTAATTTTATGGTTGCCGCACATCAAATCTGAACAAAAATCTTAAATACTTTCACATTGTTTTAAGTGTTCAGTAATAAGTTTTGGTCGGACAACCCTGAACCAAGTTCCTAGAGTTTATTTTGCAAACAAAATTAAAGTGCAGAACCATCATTTTTTAAATCTTTCAATCAAATGGGATTAGGGCCTATGTCAGGCTCCTGCTGATCTTCAATGTAGTAAGGATCTCCTTGGTGGACTCTGTGATTGTGCACCCTCAGGTTCCCCCTGTGGGCAAATCTCTTCCCACATTCTGTGCATGCAAAGGGCCTCTTCCCCATGTGAACATCCCGTTGGTGGGCTCTCAAGTTCCCACTGCGGGCAAAACGTTTACCACACTGAGCACAGCCAAAAGGTCGCTCGCCTGTATGTGTGCGTGTGTGCACAGTAAGCTCAGAGGGAGTGAGGAAGCTCTTGTCACAAAACTGACAGGGATGCAGTCTGACTCCTGTGTGGCGCAATAGGTGTCTACGCTGGTGTGAGGGGTAGGTAAAACACTTGGCACAGTATGGGCAGGTGTAAGGTCGTCCATTCCCTCCACCAGGAGCTGGAGGGTGGCCAAGGGTGTTTGAGTGCCGTAGTGTGAGTGACTGTGAATTGGACTGTGGTCGCAGAGGGTCTCTGTTGCCAAATGATGTGAGCCGCCGTGTATGATTGATGGGGCCTCTCCCACCCCTGTCGTCTCTGGGTCTCCACGGTGATTCACCAGTGGGAGCTTGGGGTTGATCCTGCCGAGCTCCCCTCTGTCCAACGCCCTGGCCATGCACTGAGTTCTGATTGGAGTTCTGGTTCTCAGGCTCCTGGTCCAGGAAAGGGAAAGAACTATCATCATCCTCATTGCTGGTCTCATCAGAGCCAAAACCAGGTCGGAAGCAGGGTCCATCTGTGCCAGTGCTGCTGCTAGCTGGACCAGAGCAGCTGGTGCCATCTGCCTGCAGATTCTCCAGACCAGACACCCCACCTCGGGTGGCATCCAATGCTGGTAACCACTCCCCAGGTTGAGCTAGGTTTGGGTCAGGCCTTGGGGAGCAACGTCCACTCTGAGAGATGGAAAGAAAAGGGGTGGAGGCTTGATCCTGGAGGGGTCTGTGGTCTGCACTGCGACTGTCCTGATCCCAATGACACACTGCAGACAAATTAAGGGCAAAAGGAAAATTGACAGTCTTTCATCTCAACTACGATAATAAATACCTTTTACACTCAAAAGAATTTTGAGATGATCTTGCTCTAGTACAGAAATGGCTAAAGAGCAGGAAAAGACTTTAGAGGACTTCTTACATTTGGTCTTGGCTTGTGTGGCAGACAGGGTATCTATCTGCCTTGGGTCCCCAGCAGCAAGGCTTCCCTCTGCAGCTTGGACTGCGACAGACCCAAGGGTAGGTCGTGATCCAGCACGCTGTGAAGAGTAAGTAAAGCAAGTCTGTAAGATGCAGAAAACCAACAGCAAGGTGTGGTCCAAATGTCACTTTTCACTGGCTGGCTAACTACTTCAGTTTCCAACTATTAAATCATGGACAGGGTCTGACCTCATGCTTTACTGAAGCTCCATCCTGGCCTGTGACCTCCTCTTTCAGCCCGCTGAGGCCCTGACTGAGTCCTTCCACTGGGTCTTGGTGAGAAGACACATCCTTTCCCTCATTCAGTCCTGTGTAAGGAAAGTGTTGCTGGTCAGTGTATTAATAAAGTCTCTGGTGCTAGTTCAGTATTGAATTAATGATTTAACTTTATTTATATAGCACCTTTCATGCACATAATGCAGCTCAAAGTCCTTTACAAGTCAGCAACACAAAAAAAAAAAAAATTGATAAATCAAGACAGACAGCAGTTAGTTATAAGCCATCTTAAAAAGATATGTTTTGAATTGTCATTTAAAACTGCCCGCTCACTCAGCGAGACTGATATTTAACAGCACAGCGTTTCATATTTTTGGGGCATATTGGCTAAAAGTAACATCCCCACAAGTCTTTGAGGCGACCCTGGGAATAGTTAAAAATGCAGCTGTGGAGGATCTTCTTAGGTTTTGTGGAGGATCATAGAACGATACAAAGTCTGTGATATAAGGGGGCGAGGCCATTTAGCACTTTAAAAACTAAGTGAAGAACTTTAAAATGAATTCTAGAGAAGATACAGGGAGCCAGTGTAGGTTGAGGAGAACAGGAGTAATCGGTTCTCTCAATTTAGTTTTTGATAAAACCCTGGCAGCAGCAGCCTGGATACTCTGTAGTTAAGCAATAGCTGTTTTTGCTGTAGTCGAGACGACTGGAAAGAACAGGCGTGAACAAGATTTTCAGCATCTTGCTGACTCAGTAGAGATCTTACATTTGCAATGTTGTGCAAATGATAAAAGGCCAAAGAATTAAAATGGGCTGTAAAATTGAGATCAGAATCTTATAACAACAAGATTTCTTACATGTGGTTGTGTCTGAAAGACCAGATGCCCCAGTTTAGTGAGAACAAGAAGATTTTTTGGGCCGACTAGGAGGATCTCAGTCTTATCTTCATTTAGCTGAATGATGTTTTTGCTCATCTACTCATTTATAGCTGACAAACTGGACTCACTGACATACACAGCTGTGTGTTGTCAGTATGGCTGTGAAAATTCATGCCATGCTGATGAATTATGGCAGCATAACAGATTAAGAACAGCAAAAGACCTTTGTCACTGCCTTGGGCCACACCATAGTCAATATTTATTGTTTCAGATATGTGTTCCCCAATTCTGACATGACATTTTCTTCCAGTAATGTATGGTTTAAACCAGCTTAGAACTGTACCAGACAGACTAGCCCATTATCTCAAGATGATTATATAAAAGATCACGGTCAATAGTGTTGTAGGTGGCGCTATGGTCAAGCAGAATGAGGACAGATATGTTTCCAAAATTTAATCTAATCATTCAAAATGTTGACAAGAGCTGTCTGTGCTATGGTTTGCACTAGGCCAGATTGAGAATTTTCAAGAATACCCTTCCCAGAAAAAGTGATTAACTATTTGAACTGTTTCCTTTTCTAATCCTTGCTCAGGAAAGGTAGATGTGAGCTATTGGGAGAGAATGGGTTCAAGTTAGGTTTAAAATGATTTGGGAAATTGCCAGATTCTTGAGAGGAAATTATAATGGAGAGTATCTTTAAAGACAGTATATGACAAGTGCTTCTGAAAAGGTTAGATGGAATAGGTTCAAGGGGAAAGGTAGAGGCTTCATAATAAAGACTGTTTTGAGTAGCTCATCCTCGAAGCATAGTTGAAGTACTCTCAAACTCTGACAAACTCTCAATGCAGAATGGGGTTGAGAAATGGATATGGATGGGTTTGAGATACATCTGAGGTTGCAAGATTGTCCTAGACTACAAGCATGATACATGCACTTTTAAAGTTTTTTACTCGCAATGACCATGGTGTGTTGCTCGTGAATTTAACTCCTGAGTTGAATAAGGTGTAATACCTGATCCTGTTAGGGTCTGCTGCCTCAAGCTGCCCTCTCTGTCTCCTGATGACATCTCCCCTTCCTCGCTCCCTCCGCTCTTGGCCTTCTGCCTCCTCTCGACCTTCTCCAGCTTGCCTCGGAGGATGGAGATCTCGTCTGTTTTCTGCACCAGCTCCGCCTGCTGTTCACACAGGCTACTCTCAAAGATCTTGGCTATTTCGCACACAGCGGCTGCCAGCAATGAGTCCATGACGGTGGCCAGTTGAGCGTGGAAAGCACTCCTCACGGACTCCATTGCCCTTTGTTTCAGTGCTGATGTTTTGATGTCAACGATTGATTCACACCGCTGTTTTCTTCTGGGTCTGGCCTCCAGTGGCAGCTGAGGGACAATGTGGCAAACACTGTATACTCCTATGCCCTGGCATCTATGAGCTGCCATTAGATGTTGCCATGATAAGTAGCTACGCTATTTCTAATCGCCATCTATCGCAGCAATTCGCTTTTACGACCCAATCTCCTTGTAGTTAAATATCCCCTGATAGTCTACCTTTGCGGCGTTTTCAGCGATATTAACAAAGCTTTAGAGTCAATACAATCTACTTTATTTTGTAAGCTAACGCTACTGCTGTACACAGTGAAGACCAGCAATGCGGTGTAATATAGAAAGCCAGTTTGCATAGTATAAAATATAAACAGTCAACTTTTGGCTAGATATGAGAAAACCAGTTGTAAACAAGTAATTCGGTCAGTGTTTTAATGTATGCTAGCTAACATTACCTCAGGCTAACGTGTAAACAAGGGAGCCAACGAAGCGTAGCCAGTTCTAGCCTGTTTAAGCTAGTATTCAAGGTAACCGTGTGAATGCAACGGAAAACAGCCACAGGCGCGGGTCGACAATTACTCTTGACAGTCGGTTTCTAAATGTCTTCATTGGTTAACATTAAATCCATGAAAACAGTCACAATAAAAGATGTGTTAACTCGTCGTCCAGCTAGCAGGTTGATGTCTGTAATGTGATCATGTTGCAAATCTCGCGATAAGAAAGCGGAAGGATTCAAACACCGCAGATAAAAAACAAACAAAACATCCAAAATAAATGTGTAATGTTATATAGATAAATTAATCTTAAATTTTCAATAACGAGGTGGTACTACACCGTCACTTAATGTTAAATGCATACAGCTGAAAACAAAAATCACTCATCATAACTCAAAACGTAGGCATGCCAAAGTGTAAAGTATGGATTTTTTATTGGGGTAATGTTGATAATGTCTCAGTCTAGCAACACTATTATAAACCCCTTTTATTAGAGAAAAATAGAACAAAAGTTTTTTCATACAATTACTGCTGCTACTACTACTACTAGTTACTAGAACTACTGGATCGATGAAAAACCAATACAAATCATACAAAATAAAACACCCTTTGTTTAGAATTGTTACAAAAGTAAACTATGTATATCACGTCTACACTCTTTTGTTTCAACTTGGTTCAGAACTCAAGCATCAGATGAAATAACAAGCTAACTTTGAGTTTGCAATATTTTTCAGAGATCTGTCAAACATAAGAGATTTTACAGGATAACAATTACATTTGGTCAAAGCAATACAATAAACATTGCAAAGCTGCTCCCAAAAGTCTGAGTCCATAACCAAGCACATCACCAGACACTCAAGGTGATCTGAGAGATTGCTGGAGTGATGCAGTTTCTCAAATTCTGCTTAAACAGTAGAGTAATACATACAGGCAGCTGAAGATTTACTCTTAATTTGATGAAACACTGTATACTGCAAGGTGACAGATTTTTAACAGGCAGAAATTAAGTTATACAGCTTTTACCGAGGTGGCTATTCTTTAGTATGTACTAGACCATTGTGGCCAATAAAGTAGTCAAAGAGGTGTGATTTAAGGCAATAATGGTTTTACATGACGTTTGCATCAATGTGATGAAATACCTTGCTTTGTCAGTGTACACTGAATTAGCCATTTTCATTACACTGCTTTTTCCATAAATGCTTTCTTAATCGAATTTATTATCACGTGTCCATATCACAATATAAAATTATATTTTCTGTGATAGGTTTTAGCCATCCCCCACCTCAATATAAAGTTTTTCACATTATTAGTGAATTTTCTGTGATATTTTTAAAACAAGTAACAAATTATGATGGTAGAGCAGGAGTACTTGGTGGACTGGAGCCCTGTGGACATAGACAGAGACACTGAAGTTTTACCTCTGGGCTCTTACTTTAGACTGAAATGACACAATAAGTGTGAAATTAAATTACAAAAGTCAGTATCAAAAGACCTATAGCATTCACTTTGTGGTTGTCCTATTCCATACTGCTACATGTATTTGGACAAATACTTTCAATAAAGTATGCTTCTTTTTTTTCAGTTTGCCATCATAATTCTATTTTGCTGATTTGCCATTTCTTGACACCAGTGATGGCAAAAGATTTACAGTACTGTTTTAATAACTGAGAGATGGGGAATACCATTATTATATAATTTAAAATTACATCTCAAAATAATAAAATAGCAAATAGCAAAATAGTAAATCCAATCATCAATCAGAGCATAAATTACAACATCCAGTGTTTCAATGTCCACAGAGATTCGATGCCAACTGTACATGGGTTTAGTTGTGGTAACACTGCATGTGGTTCCTGAGGCGTCCTTTAGTCATAAAGCCTTTTCCACAAACCTTACAGGCATTTGGCCGGTCCTTTACACAATCAGACACATGCTTATTATATCTTACTTTTGATGTGAATTTCTTCTGACATTTCTCACACTGCGTCACAGGATAACAGGACCTTTTTTTTGCGTATGTATAGTTGCTGACCAGTGCAAAACTTTGCAGGACACTTCTCACATTTGATGGGCCTCTCTCCTGTGTGAATGCGAAAGTGTTCAATCAAGGCGCGTTTGGTTCTCATGAACTTTTGACACAATAAGATGATGACACCATTAGAGTTTGCCATCTCTAGTTCAGCCTTACGCCTGGACCGCATTCTTCCTTAACATTGTTGATGTCGATTGCGATACTTGAGTCTTTGCTGGGAGAAATCAAATCCTCTTGATTATCTTCAGTGTCCTCTAAAGGTTTGGTCCATGCAAGGTGTCCATTTGGCTCACCCTTTGGTTCTGGTGCATTCTCAGTATGTGATTTTTGAGTGACTGATTAATGCGGAATTTCTTTGGGCACATGCTGCAAGAAAACGGTTTTTCACCAGTATGAACACGCATGTGCTCCTTGAGCCTGAAGCGTGCATGAAATTTCTTTTTGCAGTATACACAGGAATGCCTTTTGGTGGATCCATTGTTCTGGATCGATGATACACGGTGGTTGCCAGAGGAAGGTGAGCTTTCCTTTATAATGCGCACCTGTATTTTGCTTGGTAGAGTTGGTTTTTCTTCACCATGGGACTCAGGCTTTGGGGGGTTAGTGCGCAGTGCTTCTTTTGCTAACAATTTCTTGAGTTTTTCGCAAGATGATTTATGACACCTGAGAACACTTGGAAAGGGGAACTCTTTTTTGCAACCTCTGCACCTCTTGTGTGATCGTACGTGCACATTTCGGCCAAACACAGTATCAAATACCTTCTTACAAAATTTGCAGATATACTTCTTCTCACCGTTATTTTCTACTGTCTCCTGTTCTGTAGGCTTAGACTCAGCCACTGTGATTTTACGTTCCTCTCCTCTTCTCTTCACTGTATTTTCTTGCTCATTTCCTGTTAAATTTCTCCCTCTTCTTCTAAGACATATACTGCCTGTTTGGATAGAATATTCTTGTTTGATGTCTTGGAGCAATTTTTTCATGTCACTTCTCACTGGTTTACGTCGACTTCCTTGGTTATTCATTGGTAAGATTTTGTCCCGAGTGTGTTTGTGCCCCTCATTTAATGAGGAACCTGTGACAGAAAAACATTGAAAAAAATATCAAACTGTGATACAATGAAAAGTACAGGTGATATGAATATAACAAAGTGATTTAATAAGATGACAGCAATGTGACATTTAAAAAAAAATACTGAGCCAAATTTAAACCTATAATGTTGTGACTTCTAGAAATAAGAGAGAAAGACATATTCTCACCTACCCTCCTAGTAACTAGCTATACTAATATTTTTGGTTTTGTTTAGTCCATGTTTTTAAATATCACAGGCAAGTCACACATTGGTAAAAAGCAAATACTGCATATTACAACCTGCACTCCCAATAATCCACAGATCACCTGAACAGATTTCACTAGAACATACAGTATTTCTTGTAAAAAAAAAAAAACTCTCTATGTGTTCTGTGGATTATCCAGAGTAATGGGGACACTTTCTGAAAAGAGGTGATGCTGCTGCATTTTTTAAATATAATTTCTTTACTACTACTACTGAGTACAGACTACAGATTAAATTTTTCTTCACTCAATGAAGAGGAGTATCAGAAGAAGCAGTAATCCCACAAATGAAACCAAAACTATCGGCATGGATGGACGGCATGGATAGACGGCCACTAATGGTACTTTTGAATCATTCTGTGTAATTTTGATGAACCAACCCTTTGAATTATGAATTGCAGGACATTCAATTTTGGATTTTACTTGACAAGATGGTAATAGATAGCATTTAAATTTACAAAAGGAGCCTTAAAAATCATAAAATAATTATGTGTGAAAACAAAAGTCAAAAATAGTAAATGTAAACATGGACATGATAATGCAATTACAATCTTCATTCTGACAATAAAATGAAAATATGAGAATAATGAATGAAAGAATTAGTTAAGAACAAAACTCACCTCTCCTGGATCTCCTGAGACCCATTCTTTGCTGGTGGGAATCAATGTCACAGTCTGCCACCTAAAACATAAACATTATTGGTTATATCTCTTTTGATTAACATTGCTGAGCAAGAACGAAAACAGGTACATGCAGAGCTGTGTCTGCAAAAGCAGCCAATAATGAGATGAATTATCTGGATGTATTGAGACCATTTTGCCTAAATGTAGGGAAGTGGATATATTAGCTCTTCATAACACAGTACAACTAAAGAAAATACAAATATATCCAGCCTGTCATTAAAAAGGTGTCAGGCAAGCCAGAGCAGAGCAAATTAGTTTTTCAGCCTTTCCTGTAAACCTTTATACCATTGTCTCAGTGCACCACTTTTTGTTGAAATGTTTGTCATGGGGTATTGAATAAAAGCTTAATTTTTGACAGAACAAGAGCCTATCTTGTCAGCTTTGTGCCATTGGCTGAGGCGACATCTCCTGAGAACCATTAATGTTTCCAGTGCACCAATCAAGGATGAGTATTTGATCCATTCATGAAAATGGATTGGATTTGCAGCTGACTATCCCACCAATCACCCTGTCTTCAGCACACCACTGCTCGCCTTTCATTCTGAACCTCTTGTATTCCACTGCATTATTACTGTGCCATCAACTACCTACAACAATCAACAACATGACAGGGTGTGCTGACAAAGCTTTAAGCCTACCTTTTCAATCCGCATAAATTATCAGGTTGTCATCAGCAGTTTTTTTTCTGCTTGTTTATGAGGTTAAATTATAATGCCACCATATCCAGATTTTCCCCTTCAGTTACACACCTCCTGCTTGATGATTGGAATGCGCCACAGTGGAATCAACAATGGGCGCAGTCTTACACTAGGACAAACACCATCATCTTGCTTGATCATGGTCTCACAACCCAGGGGAGCACACCAGTCATCAGGCACTAGCCAAATCAAGACACAAAGACATAAACATGATCAAGCTGAATATGTAAGTCATATAATATTGTGATTCATTTACTCAGTGTTGTAATAAATGTTCACACTCACACTTTGCTACCCTCAAACAAACATGCAACTTATATTGGTTACTGTACTTTGAGCAATATTTGGTGCCATCGAAATTTGCTTGAACCTTCAGGTTCAGTATAACATAATTAAAATTGAATTAAAATTCACCTAAAACTACTTGCCGTACCTTGATTTGGCACAGGTTATCGCCATTTAAGTTACATTGTTTTCTAGTTTTGTTTGCTTTGATGTCTTTTGGCATTTGTTAGTGTCAAAACATTTTTTAAAATCCATATTGACTCAACATTGCAAAACAAAAAAAACATGAAAACGCACTGCTGAATACTAAAATGATCTTGAACACAATGTCAAGTCAGGCAATAAACAGAAAACTTGTCTCTATACTAGTAGCTCTCAAAAAAGCAATATATTTTTGTCATGTTATTACCCTAATTTTAAAACTATACCTTCAAAATCAATCTCAGGAACATCAGAAGTTTGTCCAGAGGGGTTCAGAACAACTTCAGGATCTTTTTGCACTTCATTTGTCTGAGTTTTGTTCATCTCCACTCCTCGGTCACCTCCACGCTCAAGTTCTCTCAGCTTGATTTCTGCTGTCTGCAACTTTGTTTTAAGCTGAGCAACCTCTTCTCCTTTCTGCAACAGCTCCATTTGATGGTCATGGAGGCTGCTCTCAAAGATCCTCATTATGTCAACCAGAGCTTTCCTCAGGACAGAGTCCATGGCTGTGGTCACCTCGGCCCTGAACACTCTTGTCAGATAGTCGGTCATATTTGAAGATGGCTGGCAGCAGCTTAAAGATGTCCTTGATCAGAAAGTCTTGTGTGATGCTGTACTGGTCCTTTCGCTTATCACTTAACCACTAAACAGAGAGATAAAAGATCAGGTTAAGATCAGGTACAAAACAGCACACTATTGTGTGTAGTAGTAGTAGTGTATTTATGCTGAAACACGGCTCTGAACCCTGGTCACCTGGGTAAGAGATACTAGCTCTTCTGATTAATCCACATAACTGCCTCCTAGCCTGCAAGTATGCAATACCTGGGTAGATTTGGTACCTTTTCAAGTATACGACTGTGGACTATATTTATCTTAAGGCGAAATCCAGTAAGTAGGCAATTCATCAGCCACAACACATACAGTAACTTACATTGAGAGAGTTTCGATATAAGCATTGCAGTCCTAGCGTGAGGTTAAGCCGTCAGGAATTCACTATTAGATATGACGTTAAAGCGTGTATACAATTAAATATACCGGTGATGGTTAAGAATAAAACCCAGATGATTAAGCCTGCACCATATTTTACTTCATCACTCATTTTCCTAAACCATATTACCGTGAGCTAACGTTAGCTATGTTTTAACTGACTAGCTTTGGACGAAACAGAACAAAAAATCAGTTACTGTGACACTCACACGAGGCGCTGTAATGACAAAAACTAAAAAAGTTGCAAGCTAAACACTGAGATGATGTTACACATAGCGGGTAACTAATAACGTTACTGACCGTTAGACACAAGCTGCTGTACTTTGTCTGCGATGGCTAACGGTCCGAAACTTTGTCTTGAATCCAGAAACCTGTTACATTAACAGCGAACCGACCCATCCTCGCCAGACACCTAAATATTAAATTGGTTGCTTTTGTTTCCTGTTATTTACCCAGCGTATCACAACCACACAATTGGTCACCCGTCCGCCATTTTTACTCGAGCTGCCCAGGAGGAAGGGGAGGGCTACGTCATTACAAACGTAATCATTCGTTGACCCGTGATAATTCACACTGTATCAAAGATATTATATACAGAAGATAACGCATTACACCAGAGACAGTAGAGAAATATAGAGAAATTTGTATAGAGGACCTTTGATTACACCAATGATCCTCTATACTCTCTACTGTCTACACGCAGCGCCAATGGTATAATGGGATACAATTCCTGTATCCTAAGTGGGCGTAGTCGTGATTGCTTCTTCAAGTCAAAACATAAAAACACAATACAACACTAGATACAGTATGAATTTGCGCCTTATTTTTGATTTTGCCGCTCGTTTTTATCTGCTTTAGAAAAATTTGTCCAATATTTATTTCGGTAACTGTGGGTGCAAAATGTGTGATCACTCCCGTTGGAATGAATTGATTCGGACCTGTTACTGGTCTATTAAATGGGCGGGGAGGTGGCGAAACCCAAGTGACAGTTACGAGAACAATTGAAAGTGAACCGTCTCCGTCCTTTCTCATCTGTCTCTGACTCTACTATAAACTACAATTTGCCCCACATAATCGTTCAATAATAGAAAATAAAAACTGGTTGTCTTAATAGGTGGAATAGGCATAAATGTAGTCAATTGAATAGGCTTTTTTTCCCCTCGCGCATGCGCTGTCTATTTGTTTGTTACCCAGCTGGGTTACCATAGCGACCAATCTGGTACGAAACAAGATGATACACAGCAAAAACACAAATTTGAGCTAACCTGTGCTTTCAGAACTGTCTAGGAGGCCAGCTGTACGTCTGTCAGGTCCTTATGTGTTTCACATAGAGGCTAAATATAAGAGTGTAATTCAGTGTTTGTGCCTTTCAAAATTACAGTTTAGAACATCAGAGGAACACTTGAAAGCAACAATGTATTCCTCCCTAGAAAGCGTTACTACTCTTTGATGTTGTCAATGAATGGACACGGGGCTCGATTTTATGTCACAGTGGAAGACTAAATTTATCAAGGTACAACATTACAATCTGTTTGCAGAACTGATGTGTCCAATAATTTGTTGTTCATCAGCTAGAATTGAACTGATTTACATAATACATCAAAATGATCTGTGATTTACTGATGAGAAGTTAGTGATTCACTCTAACACCTTACAAACATGGCATTGCTACAAGCTCCTCCACACTTTGATAGTTCCTACATCCTAAAACAAACAAAAGTGGGTGTGGGGTCAGTGTTGTGTAACTGGAGGCAAGAGCAGAAAACAAAAATCATAGCCCTGACACAAACCTTACTCAGTTAGGAAAAAGGGCCAGAGCTGCAGTAGACATGGCACTCTGTGCTTGGGTAGACAGGACACTAGTGTCTAACATCATGCCTTTGTGACTAAATGAATATAATTTGGGGCATCCCATCTATGTCCAAATGTTGAATACTTAGAAAACAGTTCTGCGTGAATCTTCCAATGTACATTTTGTATATCACAGAACCTGATAAACTGAGCTGCAATGATAGACACTGCATTTGTTCCCCCTTCAGTCCTAAAAGTAGATATCCTGAGGGTTGATATCCTGACTATTTATTCTTTATTTAAGCTGAGAAGGTCCAACACATCTTATTTCTGTCTTTCTTCATCTTCAGCTATAAATGTGTATTTAACACACAAGTGTGGTGTACATTACCCTCATTGTCTAGTACAAACTACAATGAAATTGTTTTTAATCAGAATATTATCATATTGGTTATTATTCCATCCCTTAGTATATAAACACATAGCCTACACCAGCTGTTAAAACAAGCTGTCCAATGTAAGGATGCTAACTGAAATGTATAACACAAAGATATGAGTGTTAAATATCCCTCTTATCAAAAGGTATGCATGGTTATGTATACTTTTAGTGTGTCTGCGCAGTTCACTGAAAAAATAATTCTACCCACAGGTAGCAAGATATCAGCAATGCAAAAAAAATGTGAGTATTAAAATTAACATTTCCCACTATCTGGTGAATACCAGATAAACAGTAGCTTCACAATTTCAGCACACTCACACAGCTCATTGTGGTCAAGCAAAGGTTGAAAGGCATTCAGGTGGGACACACAGATCGTTTCACGTAGGTTATACAGTAAATAATTGACAGACATCATGAATCTTTCCTTCAGCTGAGTGGTTAAATGCAAGACCCACTGCACTGTCATTTTCTCTTTGCTTCCTATTTAAAACAAAAAAAAGTTGTTCACAAGGTTCACATGCTCTGACAGTTGGCAAGCCATGACATGCAAAACTTATCTGTCAGGCTCAATAGGCCTTTTTCATGGAAGACATTCTGACATGTCACATTAGGAAATGCACAGGTCTAGATAATGAAACGAATGGCTCAGGGTCCTAGTACTGTGCCTGCTGACTCACTGTCATGACTTACAGTGACACTTGAACAGAAGAGAGCCATTGTTAATATTATTACTTACACCTGCGCTTGCCCACAATGTAAAGGATCTGTTGTCTTTCAAAGGATGTTTTCCAGGGTTGAATCTAACAGCAAAAACCAGGCTTATAAAATACAGTGTGTCTTTGTGAGGCTAGAGAATCAAGTAGAGGAGAGATTAATTCATGGTCTACAGGGTTTGCTTTATTGCATTTAAGGATCAGTGCAAAGCTTAAGGGTCCTGGTAAGAGCTTTTAAGACAGTCGTACAGTATATTGGCCAGCGGATTACCAGGTGTCTGCTTTTTCATTCCGTCACTGTTAACTATGCTCATACATGTAGGAAAATACTGGAATGATCTTCTATTTCAGTGTGTTGACCTCCATCTCAGCCAAAGGTGGTGTTGTTCCAGGCCACGTTGGCTGCATCCATGTCTACAAAGTTAATGTAAATCCTTAAATAGATAACAAAGAGAAATAGGTTAATGACACTGTACATTAACTGAGAGCAAGGTATGCAAGATACAGGAGTGTCTGAATGTTTGTGTTTCTGTCATGATGCTACATTTATTCAACAAACTGTGAGCGGTGAACGTGCTGGTTTGATGCGTGTATTTGCTTACCTGTCAGCAGAGATGCCCAGGTGTTTGTTGAGGAGTCCACACAGGAGTTTAGAGTATTGCTTGTTGTGAGCGCCGCTGATTTTGCCAATACTGTGGAGGGAGCAGAGTGCGCAGGGATCTCCCTTTCCTCCAAACATCATCATTTGCTCAGGGTTGATATGCACAGCTATGTACTAATATACAAAAGGACAAAACTGATGTCAGTCCACACTGGATGGATCAATCGTGACTGGTGTCAGTTTTTGAGGATCTTAGCCTTTTTGAAGCTGATTGTGACATTTTAGTTTCAGCATTAAAATGGCAGGCCCATTTAAACATAGACTACGGTGAAGGTTGTAATGATAATGTAATGTTAATGTTTAAAATCATGAAGTCATGAATTCAAATCCTCCATTGCAACTGCACCCTCAACAATTTTTTGACAAGTATCCAAAAAAATACCTGTGACTTATTATATCAATATTGTTTTCTTATTAAATTCACTAATTTGACTGCTTAACTTGCGGTATAATTTATATAATTATACTGCGATATATCATTTATATTTCTGGTGGAAGACTACGTTATGCCCTTAATATATATAAATTTAATTTAAAATTTTTATAACATTATCATTCAAAGTATCTATATATATCTTCAAACATGCTTGGATGACCTTAAAAAACAAAGTATCAGTTTGTATGACATGTTAGAAGATTTGCATTTAGCCTGTGGGTTTAGAGAACAGATCAATCATCGACCCAACTCTACAAATAATAGTCAAGACCGTGTTTGCGTAATTGCACAAGACACCGGCCTTATTCATTCCGTAGAGAGCCATATAATGTCTACTTCTATCTGCAGTTAAATGGAAATCAGGCTTCAGGTGCTGGTCGTGTCGCACTCAGCAGTTAAATCTATGACGATAACAAACAAAAAGGCGCAGAGGACTCAAGTTTTACGAACAGATTCTGCAGGACTAAGCGCGACCATGGCCTACCTGTGCAGGTTTGCCCATAGCTTTGGCCAGCTCCTCTGTGGCCTCAGTCAGCAGGGCCGCTGGCACATCACTTTTGGCCACGTTGGTGTTCACCACGAACATCGGCATGATTACTCCGTTTTGGTGTTTCCTTTCTCCCCTTCACACGGTCCAGATGCTGCAATTCACTCACACAGGCGGAAGTACAGACTGACGGCTGCTCTTCTTCTTCCTATTTGGAAGATTGCGTAACCATGTGACCACAGCGCCTCCATCCATCCCGGAAGACACTGTTGGTGACACACACTAAACACTATGGCTGTACACAACGCCTACCGAGTGGAAGCTCGTTTTGTTTGCGTTAGTAACTGCTCATTTCCTTAGCACCACTGTTTAGACCACACCAAGCAGAAAGTGATGGGTGAAATGTGAGTGCGTGTTCTTCCCAGGGTGCGGCTGCTCTTGAGTGTAGGGTAATTACGGTACCGGGCATGCGCAGTGTTGTCAGGCATCATTAAGCTGTGCTGAAGGGGGCGAGAGGGAAAACAGTGGCAGGGAGAGCGAGGGCAGAAGTTGGATGGCGCTTTCCTTTGTCGCCGTGTCTCTGCGCTCACAAACAACGACCAAGCTCATCTGTGATCCGTGAAATCTTACCGTCTGTCACCGTTTCGTGTCCAAGCCAGTCCTTCGGATTTCATCTCACGAACGGTGCGTATACAAAGCTGAATTAGCCAGGCTGCTAGCACATTCACTTTAAAACCTCACGGAGGCTGCTGCTCCTCTTCTACTTAAACATTGCTATGTCGATCAATAATACAAGTTTACCAAGAAGCTAACCCAACGCAGGTTGTGCATTTGCTATTTATTCAACTACAATACCACCGTTGTACTTTTTAGATAAACCGGCAATATATATTTCTTAATTAAATGATAATAGAAATGGAACAACCACTATGTTACAATGTGATTCGTTGAGCCCTGTCACACTTTGCTGTCCAGATATAGCTACCTAGTATCCACAAATAAAGTTAATTTTACTAAGTGACATTTATGACATGGGTCTAGATTGGAAATATACGGTGGCTATAGCTATCCAATCAATTAGACATTGTGAAACTTTTGTGATCCTAGTAGGAACACTGGGTTAAATGTAATGATGATCATGACAACAACACAAGCTGTCACTCAACGATCATCAGGTCCGCTCCCATCCCGAACCCTTTGGCCACGATGATGGAGGAATCGGTGACCACATTTGAGACGCATCTGACGGCTGTCATGGACAGTCTGATCCGAGCCTCGGTCTGTGAGATCACCAAACTCTTCCAGGAGACGGTGAACGACTACCTGGTGGAGCTGTCCCTCAACAGGAAGGAGAACGACGCTCTCAAACTGCGACTGAGGCTCACCGAGAACAAGCTGAGGACCGAGCGCAAGTACGGGCTGGGCTGGGCTGCCAACCGCCGCAACGCTGGGCTGGAGGAAGGAGCTGGAGGGCGGCAGAAACGAAAAGTTGAGATGGCCCGTAAGTATTTCTAATCACCTGAGGATGGCTTTTCCTCCCAAACAAGGAGGTTACATCACCTTTGGATTGTGGCACATAGAGAGCTACTATTGCAGTTAAATGACACCTTTGCTACAACATCCTACATGTTTCAGTATGATTGTGTTTTTGTTTTTTTTAAATGTGAGAAACAGGGTTCTTACTATGCAGTCAGGGCTTATGTGAAGACGCACTTGTTTTGTTGGAAACCATCTGGCAAGAGCTGATCTCTCCCTCCCTCCTCCCTCCTTCCTCTCCCCCCCTCCCTCCTCCTTTCCTCCTCCGCCTCCTCTTCATGATCGCTCCCTCTGTCCTTCACCTCCCCCTCTCCTCTCTCTCTCTCTGCATTCTGTCCCTCCCACTCCTCTGTGCCTTTGCACACTCTCTCTCTCTCCCTCCCTCCCTTCCTGCCTTGCTCCTCTCCCTCCCCCCACCTCCTTCACTTCTCTGTCTCTCTCCAACTCTTACCTCCTCCCCTTCCCGCTCCTCTCTCCTTCACGCCCTCTCCTCCTTTCCTCTCTCCCCGCCCCCACCTCCTCCTGCTCTGTTCTCTCCTTCATCACGTTGTACATACACTCTCCCCCTCCCTCCCTCCCTCCCCTACCTCCTCCACCCCACTCCTCTTCCGCTCCTCTCCACCACCATAATTACACACTCCCTCTCCACTTCCACTTCTCCTCTCTCTGTCTTTCTCTCTCTCTCCTCTTTTCACCTCTTCATCCTCCCCCCACTTTGCTCTCCTCCTCCTCCTCCTCTGGCCCCCGCCAACTCCACTTCTCCCTCTCTTCTCTGTCTCTCACTCCTCTCTTCCCTGTCACGTGTTTTTGTCTCCTTTCCACTTTCTTGTCTGTCCTTCTATGCCCCCCCTCTCGTTCATCATGCTCACGTCTCCTCCCCCTGCTCCCTTTACTCTCTCCCTTCCCCCCACCCCTTCCCTCCCCTGTGCTCCTGTTCTCCTCTGCCTCTCAAATCCCCCCCTCTCCCCATCTCCCACTTCTCCACCCTCTTCTCTTCTTCATCTTTCTCTTCTGGCCTTCCAATCATCTCCTCCCACTTATCTCTCTCCCCCTCATATTTCATTCTCTCTCCTTCCTGTCTCCCTGTGCCCTCCGTCTCTCCTGCCCCCCCCCCCCCCCCCCCCCCCCCCCCCCCCCCCACACACTTTCTCCTTCATCTCTCAACCTCCCTCCCACCCTTCCTTCGTCTTCCTCTCTTCTCCACAGGAGGCAAGTCAAAAAAGGGCCTGGCAGCAGCCTATGGCAAAGGCTGGCCTGGAGGTGTGTGGGAGGAAGGAGGAGGTAGCGGTGGTGGTGGGGGAGGAGGAGGAGGAGGAAGTGGAGTAGCTGTGGGGATGGTAGCAGGAGCAGGAGGAAGAGGGGGGAAGGAGGCCAGGGAGATGTACCTCATCCAGTTCCCCGGGGATGAAGAGGATGAAGGAGGGATGGCGGAGGACGAGGCAGGGGAGGGCAGCCTCAGCGGTGAGGGGGAGGAGACGGCCAACATCAAAGAGGAGGTGAGGGAGACGGGCTTTCTCAGAGGAGGAGGAGTAGGAGGAGAAAGTGGCAAATCATCTCTGCACTGCTCAGCGGCTTCATATAGAATGAAAAAGAACATTGACAAGAAAAGAGAGCGATAATACAGGGAGACAAAGAGAGTTTTGCTTGTGTTTTTGAGCCATCAAATCACTGCAGAGATGTAGTGGATAAAGGGAAGGCTGTTGATTTGATATTTAGCTTCCAGAGGGGCCTGTTGAGTAGGGCTCTCCACATCTCAAGTACAGTGAGCTTTTAGGTAGGAATACTACTGGTAGAGGTGAAAAGCTGTTTGCTATTCCACCACATGACCACTTGGCAGGGCACAGATCCACTCTTCACTTCTCTTCTGTATTTGAATATTCATAGCATGCAGTATGTGTTATTACTGTCCCTGTTAAGTCTTTCAAGGTGTTTGATGGCTACTAAAATGGCTTTAAGGAAATATAACCCTCAACATATGAATTGGTAGAGTCATGACGTATGGCTATGATGAGTGTTGCACATAAGTTAACAAGCCATTTTGAAAAAAGCATTTATGAATTTATCAATAAACGGTGTATACTTCCTGGTTTCAGTTGTTTATCCTATAACTGTGTTTCTTTATGCAGTTTCCTCAAACAGAGGGCTATCAACCTGCCTCTCTCCGGCTAATCAAGGAGGCTTTGAAGATGGACCCGTCCAATCAGAAGCTTCACACTGGTTCCAGAGCTCAAAGCGACGGTAATCAGCCCAGGCCATACATACAATTTAGGGAGGGGAAGTTATAGAAATGCTCAGAGACCGATAGTTTAAAAGAAAGTGGTGATTGCTCACGTCAGCTTTTTCACACTCTCCTTTATATCTCCTCCTCCTCCCTCTGTCTCTATTCAGGAGACCTGTCAGATCATCCCCCGACCCTTCATCCAGGAGAGACAGCGGAGGAGGACTGGGAGGTTGGCTCAGAAGAGCCATCAGAGGGCGGCATGACCATGGATGAACTGAGGGGTCTGGAGTCCGCGCTGAGGGCTGAGAGAGGTCGCGAGCAGGCTGCCATGACAGCTTCCCAGCCTGTCAGCCCTGAGGTAGTGCAAGGCAGCGAGATCAGCTTGGCCCCCAAGTACATAGGTCTTGATGGTATGGAGCAGGACGGAGAGCTGGAGCCTCAGCCACCCACCCTTCAGAGAGAAGACCAGGTAGGGCAAGGCATGGTAAAGGACAGTGTGAGGGCTGGAGTGGTTGGGGGAGGAGAGCTGAGGTTAGGCTGGTCGAAGAAGTTGAGAGAGGGCGACTCGGGCACAGTTATGACTGCAGACGATGGGGTGGAGCAGGGAGAGACAGAGCCCCTGCCCCACTTGTCGGCTCCTGGGAGTGTTGAAGAAAGTGGAGGGGAAGAGGAGGGTGTCGGGGACTTGCTCCACTTCTGCCCACAGTGTGGAGGAGGCTTCACCTCAGAGGCTGAGCTGGAGGAGCATCCCTGTCCACTAGGAGGCGCCCATTTACAGAGCAGTGGAGCAGAGGACAGTCTTTTCCCTTGTACCCACTGTGGCAACACATTCAGCCACGCCTGGGCTCTTAAGAACCACGAGTGTGCCTGCGCTGCCGAACGGCCGCACTGCTGCGAGATCTGCGGGAAGCGCTTCACACACTCTCGCTCACTGGAGCGGCATCATCTAGTGCACACAGGCGAGAGGCCTCACCGGTGCCCGCAGTGTGGACGCAGCTTCAGTCGTCTTGGCAACTTGGAACGGCACCAGCGGATTCACACAGGTGAACGTCCATACGGGTGTGAAGCGTGTGGAAAACGCTTCAGTCGTGTGGAGTACTTAAAGAGACATCAACTCATACACAACAGTGAAAAGGCCCCACTCCAGTGCTCCAACTGTGGAAGAGGCTTTAGTGATGTGGAGCAACTGAAAAACCACCAGTGTTTTTAGAGTCCCTCCTTCAAATATCTGACAGAACTGGAAAAAAGAAAGAGCTGGTCTTTAATTGAATGTGGCAGAATTTAGGTGATGAATGTGAATGGCACAATTTTATTCTCTGTGTTTCAGAGTTGCCTCTCTTACACTCTGACTTGATGAGAAGTTAAATTGACTTGAAGGTAAAGAAGCAGATGCGTGTGTGGATGATTTTTGTTGAGTAAGACAATTGAGGAAGACAGCTGTACATGGTGTTTCTCTGTAGGAGGAGAAATAAACTCAATCTCAGACGTCCAGCAATTTTAATTGGAGGTGTTCTCATTTTTATGTACAAAGCTTGTACTTATTTATGATGATCAATAAATTGTAAATTTTTATCTTTTTATCAGTAATTCACTCATGTTAAATCTGAGCTAAGACCTTGTGTGTTTCTCTGACAATATCATTGACAGCTTGGTGTTTTGTATGTTTGTGTTTTGATCATATCATTGAGAAATAAATATTTCAAGGCTCTTCACACATTTCAGTCTTGATTTATTGGACAATGATGGGCTTTGTGAACATGATATAAAGATGACATTGATCAAAATTGCAAGATCATATTCATCAAAAATATTCATTTCCAACCATCATAAGACAAGACAATATTTTGATCAAACATTTATTCAGCAATTAAGCAGTGGGAGAGTTTTTATAAGATTTTGAGGCTAACCAGACACTAGGGGGTGCTGTGCTGTACTTGGTGACTGTTGGACACCCGTAAGCACCCTGGATATGATACATTAACTTTGTGCAGATAAGTTAACTAACTTCTGCTTAAAGCTTGTCACTCTGTTACTTACACTGCCCATCAAACAGACTGATGTTTGGCATTTCCAGCCTTTTTCTCAGGATTTTCTCTAGGCCATTCAAGGACATCCGCGTCACATGAAAGCCGTCTGTACGGACCCCCACCGTGTCACCAGCTGGCTTTTTTTTAAAATTGCTTCCCACTGCAGCATATGTGGGGAAAAATGACTGACACTCAGGAAGGTTAGGTTTGTAGGATGGGCAGCAGTAGGCAGACCACAGGTAATCAGGAACAAACACCCTACTGTTTATCGATTTTTTTCCAGACATGACTCCAGTGATCACATACATCTTCTCTTTGCAGCACTTTTGGAATTCACTCATCACCTCTTTCTCCAGTTCTCCCCAGGGACCACTATTGGAGCCTTCCCACTGAGGGACAATGTTTGTCAAGGTGTAGGTGGCCTTACGGTCCTCCAGTGAGTGCTGGTGCATGCTGGGGGTGAGATGGCCCTTGGTGTAGAGGGTCCCTCTGTAGTCCTCAAGCACCGCCTGGCTTTCTTTCACATTGTTGTCTGGACGCAAGTTGAGTTCTTGCATGGATGGATCACCTTTTCTATTTGCCAGCTTATTGACAAAGAGAGAAAACAATATTACTTGATATTTATTCATTTGTGACAGAACCATTAAGAATTATTCCATTTGAACTGGCATGCACTGATTTACTTATCATGTTAAAGACGTGATTTGTTTGGGGGTACTAAAATGTTTGAGGACACTGTAACTGTTTGATATATTAGTTACATGGTTGATACACTTCTGGTTTTCTGATTTATTTTCTAAAATGATAAAATGACCTTATTGGTATATTTAGTAAAGTAAAATGTTTAGTGATCACACTCATAAATATTGTCTTGGTTTGCATTTGAATATTTATCCACTCCAAAAATTATAATGTTACGTGTTCCATAGAAAATTGGGTAACATTTTGATGGGTTATGCTCAGACAAAATAAAAGACTTTGCGACTTTCACTTCTAAATGAGCAGGCTGTGTGGGCCGATGACAGTATTTTTACTGCCCACATCTTACCTGTGGTTCATACATCCAGGTTTCGTCATCCCTTTTACCTTCTGGAGAGCTGAGTATGTACGCAGAGTACAGTGCTGAACGACGGTCACGGTCATACAGGGTGGCAAAACGGTAGCTGTTGTTGTAGCGCTGGCATATTGGCTGATAATGATTTCCGGTGATACCTGTTGGTGAAGTGTTCCTATAAAAGAATTGTTGACACTTGGAAAAGTCATTGACGACCTCTCCGAGGACCAGGCCACCAAACCAGGGTAGGAGAAGAAGCAGAGCTCCTGTGGAGAATTGCAGCATCTTCCTTTGAGACATCCTGCAGTACAGCAGAGAACTGATGGTAGGCTTTGTAGGTTACCTGTGATGGAGAAAGACATGCCTATTAGACAGTGAACACAGTTTGTCCAAGAACTCCTCTCAGACAAGACACTTGTAAACCTCTTACCATAAAATTTTCCTCCACGTTGAGCACGTTGAGTGCTGCCTATTTCTAGGCTGATAAAAAAAACTCACGCAGGTCTCCAGTTAAATACTCTTTGTTCATCTCCTGGGGTGGGTGGTGTGTGACCACAGTGACACAACTTCTTCTTTCACATCTTAACTTGCCAATAAAATCATTTGCCAATTCATTGCCTTAAGGAAGAGATGTTGTGTGAAAATATTTCAGTGGAAGTTCTTATTTGACCCTGTCATGCTGGGGTCATGTTGTTGCCTTATAATCTTATATGCCTTCTATATATATATATATATATATATACATATATATGCTTCTATCTGTTCTAGACTCTCAGTTGTAAATATTAACCATTTTTGTTAAAAATCTATATCCAATGTCTAGGTGCTACTGAGATATCATGTCCACAAAAATGTACGTACATATGGATGGACAGCCTCAAAACAATATGCCTCTGGTTCTGACTGTCGCCGTCGCAGAGGCATGAAAAGTGAAAGTAACCATGTCTGCATTGATGTGAAGTGCCAGGGTAGAGAGCTCTCACTGACCTACAGTATGACATTTCACTGAGGTTTTTCAGAAGAGTGGAGACATGGGGACTGACTGCGACAGACTTCCTCTGAACGACTCGCCCAGTCCTTTTGGAGACAACCTTGCCCCAGCTGGTCTTTGTCTCTCTGTCTGGTTAAAAACCAATGAAGCACCTGAATACACTGGTCTGAAATTAGAGGTTGGATACAAATAAAGTCTGCTAATATATGAAGTGGTCAAGAAGTCAGCGTTTAAGATGATCGCCCATGATGAATCCGTGTGTGTGTGTGAGAGAGAGTGTGAGGGGGAGAGAGACAATTCAAGTATAAAGGCAGCCTCCTTTGGATACTTTTTTTTTTAAGTATATTTTTTGGGCTTTTTATGCCTTTATTGATAGCACATTAGAGAGACAGGAAATGGGGAGGCAGAGAGAGGGGGAATAAGATGCAGTAAAAGGCCGTCCGATGCGGGAGTCGAACCGGGGCCAACTGCAGCGAGGACTGTAGCCTCTACATATGGGGCGCCTGCTCAAACCACTGCGACACTCGACGCCCCACATCTTTGGATACTTTAAGTTCATCATGTAGTACATGGAAAACAGAGTTGCAAACCCCGTCACAAAGTTTGGTTGGATGCCCTCACCCTCAAGGCAGATCATCCAACGTCCAACAGTCACATGCTCAGTAACTGGTATAAAGTGCTTTTCTAGTCTTACTGACCACTTGCCACATTCACGCACGCATTTATACATCGCGCTCATACGCACACTCATACACTGATGGCATAGCCCTTAGGGGCAACGTGGGGTTCAGTATCTCGCCCAAGGACACTTCAACATGCAGCCTGGAGGAGCCAGCGATCGAATCACCAACCTTCTAATTAGTGGACGACCCGCTCTCCCTCCTGAGCCTCAGCTACCAGTTCCACCTGAAGCATAACATTTGAGAAATACCACAATGCATCTTAACTTGTAGAAACAACTCTACTTGGAAGAACATTCATGGTTTGCTTGAATACAAATAAGTTGAAAAGCTCATCTGATATGCTGTAAAGAGTATATTCACTGAAAACATACTGAGCAATGTTAGACAAGGAGTAGGGGGTAGGGTGAGGGTCCTGTCAACATCAGCCACTGTAGACAGAATGTGGTCTCCATGAGGCTAGAAGCTCCGCTCTTTCAACCCAACCTGTAAAGGCTTCAAGCTGCAAACCAGCAAACAAAAACCATATGACTAACTTCTTTGACTTATTCAGAAATCACCCATACCTACAAAATAATAATAAAAGTTTATGTTCACACAGTAAGAGGACTGCATGTGTGCTGCAAGCACCTCCCTGCCGTTGATTCAAACATCACCCCCAGAATGCAGTGCTGTTCACAGTATATTACAGTATTACAACAGGAAAACGGTCAATATTGCCCAGAATGCATTGTTTTCTACACTATAGTACTGTTTTAATAGGAAACAGTATGCTGTCAAAATTTGGCGGTTTTTACAGCAATTTGTTACAGTGTTGCCACCAAAATCAGTTGCCAAATCATTGCCTAAAGGAAAAGGTGTTGTGTCAAAATATTTCAGTGGACGCTCTCATTTAACCCTGTCATGCTGGGGTCATGTTGTTGCCTTATAATCTCATATGCCTTATAAACAGTTTAATGCAAACATATAATATTTGTTCAGTAAAATGAAGAAAGTGCATGGTAATCTTACATGATTGTAAACTGATCCACTGTTTAGGGTCTGTTTCCTTTGTCCAGAAATCTTATAGTTTTTGTACTGGAAAAAGAAATGCCTGTTAGAGACTATAAAGATAAACTTTGTTGGCAGACCTTTCCTCAGACAAATAACTGTTGGACAAAATAGTCTTACTTCTTCTACAAAAATGTCCATAATGCATGGTATTACTATAAGAGGAAAATAAAATCAATGTCAATTTGCTGTTTTATTCTATTCTATTTTGTATTTACAGTACAAAGCTGGTACTCATTTATGATGCTCAATAAAATGTACATTTCAAAAGGTAGTGGGAGAAAAGTTGACAACCGCTCCAGTGACGATTCAGGCCAGAAGAAGAAACAGAGAATTGTAATATCTTTCTTTGAGACGTCCTGCATTACACAGTATCTGTGATTTGCAAAAGAATTTGAATTTTCTTAACACCTATATTTGGAGCATTCCAGGTTCCAGGAGTTAGTTGGAGCCTACTTACTGAGGGATGGTGTTGGATGAATGTGGCCTTATGTTCCTATGTTTTGTCTTCTGGAGCATGCTGGGATTGAGATGTCCTCAGACTTCTTGTTGTCCTAAAAGTCCGACTGGTTCTTAGTCCCTCTCTGGTGGACAGAGTACAAATTATACAATGACAATCATGGGGGTCAACTTTTTCTCTAGGGTGAAAGGGAACCCAGCACTGTACAGACTCATGGTTCAGAGAACTGAAGTATTACAGTCAGTACAATATCTTGCTTGGTTAACTAAACATGACAAATAAATGTAATGGAGTAGAAAGTACAATATTTCCCTCTGAAATGTAGTGGAGTGGAAGTATAAAGCAGCATTAAATGGATATATACAGTAATGTAAAAGTACCTCAAAATTGTACTTAAACGCAGTACTTAGAGTAAATGTACTATCTCTAAACCACTAACCCCCCACTGTCTGCATGCTCATGACTGAGCATTTGTGTTTGATAAAATAATATATGACATTTTGTACTGTAATAAAATACCATGCCAAAATTAATGAAAAGGTGCGCTATCAACAATTAGTTAGCTAAACTGTAACTTAAGGCAAAAGTTAGAAACTAGCTAACATTAGCATTCATCCGTAGATACTTGACACAATCTACTTCAGAAGCTCTAAAAGTAAGAAGTAAAGTGTATTGAACAAGAGAGATAGTTAGCTACTGCTACTTACATTTACCTACAGTGGCTCAATTGGCTTGTGCAATGCTCAGGAGCAGAGACGCTGGCCACTGATAAATGTGAGGCCATGAGTGAGGCAGGCAAATGAGACATTCAAATAATGTCAAGATTATGTAATAATAGGCAAGTAAAATATATAAATGTTTACATCCCCCAAACTGTTGTTATTACCTCTTTTTTTGGGTGAGGTGGGGTTGTTCAATTTTTAATCGGGGGGTCAGACTCCTTTAATCCCCTCCATAATTCGAACACTGGATAGGGATTTGGAAAAATTTAATAAAAAAAAAACAGCTTTCATTGACAGAGATAAAAGGACATGACACTTTATTTAGAAGCTACTCATGGACAATTATTTATAGTGACTGATTAAGGCATTTACCTGAAATGTTCATTGTAAACCAAAACAGCTTTTAATCAAACATTTGGGAGTTTACAAATAACAGCAGAAGATTCAGACTTTTCTGAGTTCTACTCTCATATTATATTTTTCAACAGTATATCCCAAGTACTCATTTCAATGGTACACTGTATTTTAATTATTTGTGTGAGGGAATAAGCGATTTGAACTAGAGCAAAAGCTTATCATCTTGACACTGCTCATGAAACAGATTTTATGACACAGGCCAGCCTCAGTGACACAATAGTTTCCAGTGTCTCCAAGGACATTTGCCTCACATTAACACCTAGATAGAAAAACAAAAGTGAATTCATTTGCTGTGAGCCTCAAATGGGTGCTCAGTATCTCTAGCTCCACCAAAGTGGTCTGCTGCACATTTTTCCCTATCAAGACAGTTGCTATTTCACTATAGTCTCACTATATAATGCAAATACGTCTGTCTTGTAAGAACAGTAAAAGATAAAATGTATGCTAATCTTGCATGAGTGAAAGTTAAACGCAGTTCTAGTCTATTTCCTAAATGTAAAAATACAATTGTTAATAAATATATACAATCACTATAACCATATTCAAAAATATAATTCACTATAATGAATCACACGTATCTAACAAGGCAGGTAAAGAGGTCACTATGTTGCCTCCATCACTGCATTGAAATACAACTGTCATGTAATTTTGGCAAAAGGTTTGAAGTCAGCAATTAAAGAAATTGCTGCTGAAGAAAGAGCAGCAAAACAGCAGCAAAACCAATAAGCCAAACAAAAGTGTTCTTTAACTTTCTTTGCAGCGTGGATGTTGGAAGTTATTTCACATTTGTTTTCTTTTTTTGTTTGTGTTAATGTTCAGTTTTTGTCTTTTATACATGTCATGTGTTTTAATAAGATAATGTTACTGAGTGGGGTGCAGTGGTGATATTTTAGCTGCAATACATAGTGTAGGGGGAAATATTTGTGTAGGATTAGTGGCACCTAGTGGTGAGATCACAGATTGCAACCAAATGAATATCCCTCCCCTCGCCCCTCCCTTTCCAAACTTGTAGGTGAACCTACAGTGGCCTCCAGGTAACTTAAAAACAGGAAAGGCCCTCTCTGGAGCCAGTGTGTGGTTTGGCCATTCTAGGTTACTGTAGAAACATGCACTGTAAATCACTGAAAGTTTGTTCAACTTAGAAACATATGTTCCCCTGCTGCCTCAAAACTGAGTTAACTGAATTCAGGTTGAAGTTATGAACAAAGTTAAATAGTTTAACATTGTTTTATGAGTTTTGTAAAACAAACTGAGTTAAGTTAACTGAACTTGAGAAAACAAGTTTACATTTAAGATATTAAGTTCACTTCACTGTTTAGTGAGGTGTTGTGTGAAAATATTTAACTGGAAGTCCTTATTTGACCCTGTCATGCTGGGGTCATGTTGTTGCTTTATAATCTTATGTGCCTTATAAACAGTTTTAATGCAAACACATAATATGTATTCAGTGAAATGATGAAAGTGTATGCATCTTCCATGACTGTAAACTGAAGGCTGTTTAAAGTGTAGTTTGTTTGCCTGCTGCTGGACTGAGTAAGTACGCAGTCCAAAATGTGAAATATGCAAATATGCATGAATAAACATTTATATGCACTCATATTTAAACCAATGGCATGTTTTTTTTTTCAATTTCATTTTATTAGTTAACTCATCAGGTTAGTTATTGAACAGGGGGAAAGATTGTCTATTTTTTTTTTTACAAAATTCTACTCATTGGAACAATTCATTTCAAGCATCATCACATAATCATCATGTCCTGGTTAATCAAACTCTCATCTCATTCAGTAATTAAAGAGACAGTAAGGAAGGGAGGGAATTAAATCTTCTTAACTTATTGATTATGACTAGACATAATCAAGAAGTTGTGCAGTATGTGGTGATGATTTCATTTGATTTGAACAAGTAACTAAAGCATTTCCGTTTTCTTACTGACACTGCCCATGAAACAGACTGATGGGCATGGCCAGCCTTTGTCTCAGGATGCCCTCCAGAGTCTCTAAAGACATCCGCTTCACATCATAGCCTCGCACTGAGGCCCTCGCCTTGACATTAACTGGTACAATCTCCTCTCCACTGTTGGGGTCATTTCTTCCCACTGCAGCGTATGTGGGGAAAAATGACTGCACATGATCAGGAAGGTTAGGTTTGTAGGATGGGCAGCAGTAGGCCGACCACATGTACTCAGGAACAGACACCCTGTTATTAATCCAGCGTGCCCCAGACTCATAAGGCATGGCCCCAGTGATCACATACATTGGCCCTTCGCAAAAGGAGTTGAATTTTCTCAACGTGTCATTCTCCAGAGTGCTCCAAGGGCCAGAGTTGGAGCCCGCCCGCTGAGGGACAATGTTAGTCAGAGTGAAGGTGGCCTCGCGGTCCTCTTTCGTCTTCTGGTGCATGCTGGGATTAAGATGGCCTTTGGTGAAGTTGGAGTTCCTGTAGTCCTCACGCTCAGCCTGGCTCTCAATCACATTCTGGTCCACAGGGGTAGCAAAAGGTTGCATCTCTGAGTTGGCACGGGAAAATGCTAACTGAAAGACAGAGAGAGAGAAAGAAAGATGTGACTGTTTAGAAGCTAAAAAAAGATGATATGAATGACAGCATTTTTATGTTCACAGTTTGGAAGAGGGTTCCTATTCTTCTGCTTGAAGTTAATGGCAAAAACCCTATTTACCTTATTAATAACACAATAACTAAAGTGACACTTGAACAGAAACTACTAGCGTACATCTAACCATGTTGCCTTAAATTACTGTGTATTTCTGTGTGAGGACTGGATAATTGATAATTGAGTTATTTAGACACACTTGACTTTGACAGTAAAAGTAAAAAAATGATTTAACTGAGTCAAAGGAAGTGTTGTTCTGTCTTAGCCAGGGAAGAGCCTTGCTTTACTTTGCCTTTGTCATAAAATGTTTTTCCACATAATCTGTATAATCACAACATATAATTTTAGCATATCTAAAAACATCAAATCTGACAAAGTAATGCTCAGAGTACAGTTAGTCTTTAAAGGAAATGGTTACTCTTAAATATCATACACTGCCTTTCTACTTACCTGTGGTTCATACATCCAAGCTGCACTGGGCCGTTTGCCATCTGCTGGGCTGAGTAAGTACGCAGAATACAGTGGTGTACGATGCTGACGGTGATACAGGCTGACAAAGCGGTACTGGTTTTTGTAGCGTTGGCATATCGGTTGGTAACCTAATGCACTGATACCCTGTGGTGGAGTTTTATAATAGAAGAAATCAAGGCACTTGGAAAAGTCTTGGTTGACCTCTCCAAGGACCAGGCCACCAAACCAGGGTAGGAGAAGAAGCAGAGCTCCCGTGGAGAATTGCAATATCTTCCTTTGAGACATCCTGAAGTGCAGCAGGTGAACACAGACCTCCTCTCTGACAAAGCTACAAAGTTAAATAAGACCTATATTTCCTTTGTTTCCATTCAGCGTCTGGAGTACGGGTGCTTGTGAGCTGTCACTGAGGTTTCCTCTTATATATACTGACAGCAGGAACCATGAGGATGACAGTTTTTGCCCACTCCCAGCCCCCGTTTCCCATCAAACTTCCCCTGCAAACCAGTAGTCAGGCTACTTTCTGGGAAACAATGGCTCTGCAAATCTTTTTTTCATCAGTCAGCCGAGGAAGAGACCATCTTGTTTCAAGCCCTTAATCTTTTGATGATTGTGGCAGAGTAAGTGAAAAAGAAGCTGCACCTCATAACCTGTAGATTTAGGTCTAGTATAGGGATCACACCAGTTGCATAGGTCTGCTGATACATGAGGCAATCTGACATTATTTAGGACACAAAGAACAAAACACCTGTAGTAAATGCTGACAATGCAGTATCTGGTTTTTGGCTGTTGTTGTCTTATGTACGTCTCCTCCAGGAGAGGATGGAAGACCCCTTACTCTCTCACACTTTGTCTGAGTTGAGGGAAGAACATGAGTACCTTGGATGTCCTGCATTAATACAGTACTGTCCTATATGTTTATTGGCAACAATTTTTTTTACAGATATCACACAGACACCCTCCAGTCAGCAGGTTTTGTTTCCTGGTTTTTGTGTTATTTTGTATTTCTTCTCTCACTGAAACTCCCTTCATTGTGGGAACCAGATTTTTTTTTCTAAAAGCTATAAGATCTCCATATACTATACATAGTACTTCCATTATTTCTCAACTTTGTTTTTACGAAAAGTCTGCGGCTTCTTTATTTCGTTATGTGCTTTATGCATTAGTGGGAAAATCCTCCGTTTCAGTCGTTTTCGAACAATTTGCGAGGGAATTGTTAGATGATGGAAAGAACATAGCCTACATATGGGGGTAAACCAGAGTGATGTACGTTACAAATAAATGCCACGAGGTACCTTAAGTATTGATGAGTTGACTGATAATACGATACTTGTTTTGAGTATTGATACAATCATCAACAAAATTGATAAAAAAGGTCACGTTCTGGGCACATGAACTCACCTCTTAGTGAATGCACTCCTTGCTTCTCTGCTGTTGTTGTGTGCATGTGAACAGTGATCACTTTCTAAGAATTCACACAATAAAAACACTTTGGTTATTTACCATTAAAAGATGTTTTGTGTTTTAACATACATGTCAAAATAAAATCCTCTTGAATAAAAGACTCTTCTTAACCTCTACCCTTCCCTCTTCAAAAACAAGATATTTATACATTAGTTTGTGATTTGGGAATATTGATTAGTCTCTCTTGAAGGTGGAAGTAAAAAACCTTGCTCCTCTCAATTCCCTGTGGCTGCCATTTTCTGGACACGTTTGCTGCATAAATTCATAGGGGAAAAAATGAGCACTTTAGCATAAACAGTACAAAAACTGTGAACAGTGCCCCAACATTTGGTCTTATTGTCTGAGGACAAATTCTAGGATTTGACCCAGAATAAAAGGAGCACGAAACTGTAAAAATCTTGAAGTTTGTGTTTGAGATGTAGGTGGTAGATTGTAAATCATGGCCATCTAGTGAACACTTAGGGGTATGACTATCCAGGACACAGAAACTAATCATGCAGGTCAGTGAAACTAACTGGACTGTGACAAATAATGCTGCATTTACAGTCAACGGTGATGAGTCGCAACCTGTGGATGGTCAGGAATTACCATATAGTTTTTGTTTCCACATAAAGTAGAGCTGCTGAGTCTTACTTAGAGTGATGAACTCTGTGTCAGCAAGTTTCCCTTCTTCTTCCTTGTTTTGTGTCACTGACTCAGAGGCTGCAGGGTATGTTTTGGAACTCGTATCGAACACCTGTGAGGTATTCCAGAAAGCAGACTCAACAAATTCGGAGCCTAACCTCGAACTCTAAATCCTGAGATCAAAAACTCTGAATTTTTCTGTTCCAGCTGATCTGAGTTAACACTGAATTAAGCGTGTGCATGACGAATATAAAAAGCCACCATCAATGGAGCTCCAATTCAATGATTCACCATGGCAACGGGTAAATTAAGAGCAAGCCAGAAAAATGAATGTGCATTTATCATTAAATCAAGTGTCTTAATGAACTGTCCCCTTAAAAAATAAAACTACCTTGAGTTCATTGCCTACCTTAAAATAATGCCATGTCCATCGTTTGTTCACATTTTGGCTTCAGTGAAGACAGCAAACACACTGCAGAAAAACAATTTCAGCAATCAAAGGTAACCCCACCAATTTGTTTAATTAATAATCAATGTGTGCTTTGTTTTCAACAGTTCAAAATATTAAATATTAACTTACCATAATTAATCTGTGCATATTTTCTTAAAATCTTTTAAAATCGCAAAAGGTTAGAAAAAACATCCAAGCTTTGTTAATTAAGCACATTTACTATATCAGAGAACTATAAAGGCAATGTTGAAAAAAATATAAATAATAAGAAATAAATAATTGTGCATTAATCAGAATTGAGGTCAAAGTTTGAAAATTTTCGTGATATTGATTTGAAATCATATCGCCCATCCCTAACAGTAGCATTAGCCATTAATTATAAAATAGCCTATGCAGCCTCGTTAAAGTACGCCTACAATATTTTCAGTGACTTTAGCTGTAACTTTGGCCACCACAAATGTAATGTTTGAATGAAATAAAAAAGTAATTAGCTAGCAATTTGGTCATGAAGGCTCTAATGAGAAGCTAAGATGAAAAACTAGATGTAATGTTAGCTGCTAAATTTGACCAATGAATGTACATTTCCTATTGAAAATGAAATCATTTCAATAACTTTAGCTGCTAAGCTTGGTCTCCAACCATTCAATGTAAAGGGAAAGAAAAAAAGTTTAATATTGATTTGAAATGAAACAGTGAAAAGATACTTTAGCACTGCCAGTGTTGCCTAATAAAAGGTAGTGCTAAGGTAAAAATTCAAAGTGAAATCAATGTTACATCAGCTGGCACATATGGCCACCACAAACCTTATGTTCAAATCAAAATAAATGTTATTAAAGTTAGCTGGTAATTTGGTCATCAAGTTTCTACTGAAAAGATAAAATGAGAAACTCCATGTTACATTAGCTGCCAAGTTTGGCCTCAAACAATCTAATGTCAAGGAAAAATGAAAAAGTAACAGTAACATTAATTCCTAATTCTGATCATCAGAAATGAATTGTTAAAATGAAATCTAACTGTAACAGTTACGTTAACTGCCAGTGTTAGCTATTAAAAACTTTAGCAGTGAGGTAAAGAGGAAAAAATGACAACACAGGCTTGATTCTAAAATGAATGGACTGTGTTGTGTTCAATTAAATTTAAACACATAGTTAACACTAGGCCTAGCTGTTAATTTAGTGATCAACAAGTCAATATAATTTAAACAGATTAATTGACATAAATTATTTTTAACAGTAAACATTAACACTTCACACTAGATTTACTTTATAATTTTGTACACAAACTGTTTAATGGCTCCAAATCAGACAAAGAGTTACTAACATAGAATATTATACTTGTGCCCACCCCCACACTCATGGTATAACCTGTGACATCATTGATGACATCAGCAAGAGCATAAAATAGGGAAGTGTTTGGCCGCCACCCACTGTAGAACAGCTGGAGTCCATGGTGAGTGTGGAGGGCAAAAGGGCTCAGAATAAAGCAATGAATCTATTTCTAACAAAACACAATGCTAACCACAAACCTGTCATTTTAAGGTTTTGCAGTAATAAGATTAAGATTGAAATCTGATTAAACAAAGCCTGAGATTTGTGTTCTCACATTTGCTGTATACACACACACTCACCCACCCACACACATGTAAGTGTAAGTGAAATGAACTGCTAACATTTGGACAATATAATTACAAAGGGTTAAGTCTTCCTAACCTCTGATTATTACATGGCTAGCAAAGCTGACTATTAGACATTCTAAGGCTAGCTTTAAGCTTTTTTAAACAGTGCCAGTAACATTAGCTCCTAACTTTTGTCTTCATAGATTTAATGGTAACTAACCTATGTAAGGCTAGCATGAAGCTAAGCAGTGCAGTGTCACTAACATAAATCAGACATTATAAACTAGCATTAGCTGCTAAAGTTCTAAAATTTTGACATTATAAGGCTACCAGCTGCTACTTTTGGGAATTTCAAGGGTAGCATTAGTTAACCTTTGGACTTTAGGCTAGCATAAACTGCTAACTTTTGGACCTAACAATTAGAAAAACAGCTTTAGCTCATCCTAGCCTCTGAATATTACAAGGCTAGCCTTAGCTACTAACTTTTCGACATTACAAGGCTAGCCTACCAATTCATGCTACTACTTCATGGTAGTCTTCATTACGTACTTAAATAATGAAGTAATACAGTGCCACTAACATTTATAATACATAAGGTTAGCATAAAAGTTTTAAATTTTGGACATTAGGCTAGCATTAGCTAAATCACATTCATCTAACATGTTGTTCATTTAATCGAGTAAATGCATGTAAAATACATCTAACAGCATGTGATGTATTTATTTTAGGCATTTCAAATTCTCAACACAGAACAGAAAGCCAAAACATGGCCATCCCCAGAACAATGGGGATTGGTCCGCATATTTTTGACTATCTTGTGTATTTCATTTTTTTCAGAGGTTTTGATAATTTGTGAAATGTTTTTATGATTTGCAAATCTGAAAACCAAGAGTTTGCAGAGTTTAAAAAGAGTCTGGGTTAATTGTTGTCACATATATATGAACTGATTTAACAAAATCAATTCAGATGACTTAAAGGGATAGTTCAGGTTTTTGACGTGGGGTTGTGTGAGGTATAAATCGCCTACAGTAGATGATGATGAGCGCGGTCCCAGTTAGGAAAGCCGACCGGGGTACCAGTTGGGTGGCAGAGCTATGTGTGTTGAGCCACGAGAAAAACGTGTAAAGACACTTTTAAAAACGCCCACCGGAACAATCAAATATCCGTTTAAATGTACGCTTCATGTAGAATATATTCAGTGGTTTATCTTCCCGTGAAAACAGCATTTTCCTTTGGCACTACATTTTTTCAACCGGTGAACTACCGTAATCCTACGCAATAACACAGTTTGCGCCTTCGGTGCGCTTGTGAGTAGGAATACGTAGGAATACGGAAGTTCAGCTCGGTTTTTTTTAAGGATACGGCTGCAACATAACGTGAAATAATTGAAGGGGTCTGGACCAGGACATTTTGAATGCACTGCATGTCCATCAACTACAATTGTACAATTGTTTGCCCCAGTTTGCACTTTGCATCTGTAAAAATTCACTGAAATTCACTGTTCCTTAGTTGGTAATTATAGTAAGGACTATTAACAGGCTTCTAGGCACATTTCAGCATTTTAAGTCTTTGTGTATATAGTTTTTAAGTAGTAGTACTGGTAGGAATATGTTTGCTAAAGGCCTTTGCCTGTATTTGACATTTGTTTGTTCAGCACTGTTATCAGCTCAGCAAATATGCATATGAACATAGTCAGAAGTGCTTGAAGTGTTTTTATCAATATGAACTCTCATTTGACTTATGATGAAAAAAATACCGAAATGTTAAAAGATGCCGTGGCACTGTTTTTGCATTTTTCATTTATATGCAAAATAAATTAGCTTAATTTTGTATTTGTGTTTATCCGTTTACTGGCTACTAAACAAAAAATGCTCAGTAGTAATTCCTTAATTGATACATACAGCTAAATCATTACTTTAAACTTCTTGTTATTCAAGGGTTTCACGTAAAAACATACCAGACATAAACATTCTCCCATATTGAAGCCAAACGCATACAAAATAATCTTGCACAGTCTGGGCCAGATCCATACTGGATAGCGGATCTGGCCCAAATCTGTATTGCATCTGGTCCAGATCCGTCATGATGGATCTGGCCCAGATTTCTATCTGGGAACCGACTGAATCGTTATATTTATCTCTTTCTAAGAAAAGCTGCTTGGCCCCGGGCACATAAAGACCGTGCGCGCTGTCATGGAGCAGGCTGATAGCGGCGGCACCGAGCCTGTTGCTGCACGCCCCCCGTCTCTTCCGTGAAAACATCTGCTCTGCTGTCAGCCTCAGACCACTCCCTCTCTGCCTGTGAACGGAAGAGCAGTCTAGTCAACTTGTTACAGTGTTGTCATCAGATGTCTCTTCCAGGATTATGTGTTTAGCCGAGAATGGCGGAGGCCAGCGCACTTGACGAACTCCAGTCGGAGCTGACCTGTCCAGTGTGTTTGGAGCTGTTCCGTGATCCAGTGATCCTCGAGTGCGGACACCACTTCTGCCAGGTGTGCATCATCCAGTGCTGGGAAGCCAAGGCGGACGAGCTGTCGAGTTGTCCAAAGTGCCGTAAGTCGTGCGCCCGCAAACTGCGGCCCAACTCGCTCCTTTGCAACGTCGTGGACAGTGTGCGCAGAGCCCGGGTCATGGACATAGCCGCGGGTATAACCGGATGGGACCCGGAAGGTGCCCTGGAAGAGCCGGAGGAACGGGAGCCCGGTTCAAGTATGAGCAGCGTGGCCACGTCCATCGGGCACTGGCCGGGCCTGGGTATAGATATGTGCGAGGAGCATGAAGAGAAGCTGAAGCTTTATTGTGAGGACGACCAGCTCCCCATCTGTCTGGTGTGCGGCATGTCCCGGGACCACAAGACCCACAATGTCATCCCTATTACCGAGGCTTTTGAAAACTACAAGGTAGTGATTTTAGACACGTTTCTTTCTGATAGCTCCCAGTCCATTTACACCACACCATTTTCTGAGATCAGGTGATGACTAATGTGAGTAATCGTGAGTAGAATGGATCACCAAACTTTTGCTCTTTCTTCTGTTTCCAGCTCATTTCTGTTTGATATTTGTTCATTGCTGGGGCTACAGGATTACATTTGGATTTAAATTTTAGGGAGTGCCATACTCCACCATTCTCATTTGACACTCCTCTTCTTGTCTAAGGAAGGAAATTATCCTCAAGTTTGACATACATTCCTAAAAGTCAACTCAAACTTGTTATTGAAATTAAATTTATGAAAAAAAAATGCTGCTCTGCTGTAAACAAACAGGGCTTTCACAGAGCAGATGCTGGAACATGGCATTATTTATTTTTGAAAGCAGATGACTCCTTGTTTACCCCAGCAGCCTTTGGGTACTTTGTGTTTTACAGGAATTCAGCGAGTCAGTGCGAGCTCTTAAAACTCGCCTACACTTTTAACCTTGCAGCTGACCGTCGTCAGTTTGTTTGGAGACTCACTCTGAGAGGCCTCTCAGAGTCTTTTAACATGTTTTACTGCTGCTGAATTCCCATTTTGTTTGAATGTGTGGGCCAGAGAGTGTTCAGTTGGGAAAGGGTGGGCATCATATGACTCCCATTTAAGACAATGTTGTTGTTCAGACAGGCACCAATCCAATTAACTCTTCATTTAAGTATAATCTAGTTTACTGACCCCACTTTTCAACTATGTTTTGCATGTGATTTTCTATTTCTGCTGCCTACAAACAGGATAAGCTATCTGTGGCTCTAGAGAGGGTTCAGCTGCAGACAGAGGAGGCCACGCTCTTCCAAAAACAGACAAATGAAAAGATCCTCCTCATCAAGGTATCAAAATATGTGTGTGTTTGTTTGTGTATCTGTGTGTGGGCTATTTGTGAAGCATTGTGAAAGAAGGATGGAAAATATCCTGAACATAACCCTTGTGAAAATACTTGTCCTTTGAATAGAACCAGAAATTCTGGTAGCTAGGCAACATTCACCCACATTCCCCTACCTATACCTGTCTGACAGACGTAAATGACGGCTGACTCATCAGACACTACAGGTTGTTACTCAGCGTCGTTCGTCGAACGTGGTGATTCCCATGTTTTCCAAATGCAAAGGTCTGATCGTGGAATGTTACAGGTGGTTCATAAACAGTCATACAGGTCACGTCATGTTTGTCTCTCTCACGGTCACATTTTTAAAAAGACGGACGCACACACGCACACGCACACGAACACACACACACACACACACACACGCACACACACATATGTATACACTGCATGTTACACACCCTCAGATATAGAGATAACAGCAGACAGAATTAAGGCTGGGTCACTTTTTCTACAACTTAAGCATTCACCTACGTGTGTGTGTGTGTGTGTGTGTGTGTGTGTGTGTGTGTGTGTGTGTGTGAAACTGAGATATGAGCGTAGAGTTGAGCGCTTCTGCAGGAGCAGATAGCTACCTCTGTGCTCTTGCCTACTACAAACTGTCTTTCTCTATCTTGTCTGTCTGCCTCTCTAAGTCTCTGTGTTTTCCTGTCTGTCTGTTTGACCTAGTTTATGTGCACACTCACAGATTTTCACTTCTGTTTCTATGTAAGTATGACAGGATGTGGGGTGAGCAAGGTGGAGAGGAAGTTTGTCAATTTGTCTTTTCCTGCAAATTTCTCTTTCTGTATGTATGTGTGTGTGTGTGTGTGTGTGTGTGTGTGTGTGTGTGTGTGTGTGTGTGTGTGTGTGTGTGTTTGTAAAATTATATACACATGCAAATCTGCTTAGCTGCCACATCCACAGGACTGGTACATGCTCTATATAATACTTATTTATAGACATGATCAATTTCAAATAAACATCCATCACAAAATACTTGATACTGTTATGATTTGCAAATGTCAGTCAGTGGTAAGTACAGTATATTTGAAAGTGTCCCCCAAACAGACCAACAAAACATTGCTCACCCTGTGTGATTCACCTAGAAGTTTTCCTTTGAACCCAAGAAATATTTTTTAAATGTTTTTAGTAACTTCACTAACTGGGTAAAAGCACTGGTTAGTATTAGTTTAAGGAACAAATCACAGGCTTTCAGATGAAGGAAATCGATCAATAAGGTTTTGACTCTTTTTACTTTATTCTTCTTAGTTGTCTTAGTTGAATATTCACACAGATTTACAGCAGAATGAAGCTTCACAGAAAAACCAGAAAAAGAATCTAATTAAAAAACTTGGCTGTTTTGCCTTTGAATTGAAAAAAAAAGCAGGAAAACTCTTCTTGGAGCACTTGTCCTTGCTGACCGCAGTCCTCCTTATGTTTTAGGAGCGATCAGGAGATCTGGAGGAGCTGGTGTCCGCAGAGCTCGGCCGTCTGAGGGAGTTCCTTCTCGAGGAGGAGGAGCGCATCAAGGAGAAACTGCAGAAGCAGAAAGAAGAGAAACTCAGCCTGCTGGAGGAGGCGCTCACTCAAGCGACGGAGCAAATCAGCCAACTGGAAAATACAGCCGACCAGCTTCGCCTTAAACTGAGGGAAGAGGAAAACCCAGAGCAGCTCAAGGTAAAAAAAGAGGAGAAGAATGAATGGATGATGCATGAAGTTGCATGAAAAAAACAGCTGAGCAACTACCAATGAATATTGTTGGGTAAAAGTGCAGTGTCAGAGACATTATCTGCAGAGACCTATTTTGTAATCACAGGCTTGCTGTGATCTGCTCTTTTTCAGGGAATCAAAGATTTCATTGGAGGGTGAGTATCATCTTAATCATAATAAGACAAACAGAAGTGATTTCTTACTGAGTCACTCATTCATTTCTATCTCATCTTCCTTTCTCTCTCTGTGTGATGGTCTAAATCAACCATCTAAATTAGTGTTTCTCAAACTGTTTCAGAGGACATGGTGTTTTGTTTTGTAATTAAGTTTACGTCTCATTTACACAGGATGTGTGGCCATGATTGTGGTTTATTGGGTCATCTTTGTTACACATATCAGCCTGTGGTCCCTGGGAAGCATTAAGTCTTTTATGACACTGTTTTTGACAGTGCAGTTACAAAATAATATGACTCATGTGACTAATGTGAATTTATGACTTGCATCATATGATTTATATTTGACATTAGTAAACAGTTGCTTGACAGTTGTGAAAAGACTATGGGCCAGTAACTGTTTTCTTCTCATTTTTATCCACAAAAGCAGCCAGAAGGAAAGATAGACACAGTAATGATTACTGTGTCTCACTAAAATAAGGAGGATTTCTTTACTTCTTGTGTTGAATTGTTGTAGGCTTTATTTAATTATTCTCTCTCTCTCTCTCTCTCTCTCTCTCTCTCTCTCTCTCTCTCTCTCTCTCTCTCTCTCTCTCTCTTTCTCTCCCTCTCTCTCAGCGGCTGAGAGCTTGTTTGAGCGCCCTCCAGAAGTGGGTGTTGATCTGCAGTCAGGAAAGTTTATGGGACCTCTGCAGTACAGGATCTGGAGGAAAATGAGCTCCATTTTTCAGCCAGGTATATAAACACAAACACACACCACCCAAACACACTTACAAGAACTATTTAGCTCTCATCTTCTATGAAGGTGGGGAGCTTCTGAGAGACTGATAAAAAAAAAACAGTCAAGATCAATGCAGTAGTGCTGGTTAAGCTCCAAAAACACTGGATCCTATCGCCTCCCACGACTTTCAAACCATGCCTGTAGTTTATGTGGGCTTTCTGTCAGAAATGTAGCCAGGGTTTTTAAATGCTGAGGTCATTATTTCAAGTCCTCAAAATACAACCACCCACACCAGTAACCTATGACTAGACACAAAAGTAAAGTCTGTAAAAATATTTTAACTATTATATTTTTTATGATTTATTCATTGAACTTTGATCAAACTTTTTCTAAATCTTTCTCAATATGTAAGTTTGAATTATGTTTCTAGTGGCAAGTGTGTAATTTTTCAACGCGTAATCTCTCAATTATAGCATATGAATTACCTTAAATGTCAAAATTTTAGCAACTTTCTTGTTCATCATACAACACTTTACAAAGAATTTCAAACCAAAAAGTCTGAATAAGCCTGAATAAAAAACTCCTGAATATGTTACTGTAGTTTTGACTCTTTAAGACTGCTTTCCCCTCTCAATTGTTGAGCCACCTACGTACCTCCTCTCCAGGTTGCTAAATGTGGTTAATTCCCAGAGAAAATACAGAGGATATGAACCCAGTGTCCTCAGTGGTAGCCATTGCCCTGGCTGGTATTCTCAGTGACTAATAAACCGATTGTGGCATGTTAAATTGGTGGAGTTTCCTTTTTAAAAAAGGTGGCTATATCTTCACAAGACAGTATTGTTCTCTGCATGTCGAGTCGAGTATCAACCTGCTCCGCCTGGATGAGTTGGAGAACAGTGAGTTTCAAACGTGACTGTATCTGCTTTCTAAACTGAAATCAGTCTGTTGCAGGACTCAAGTCAGTTGTGCAAAAACTTGTTCGGGATGTTTCAGGTCATTTGCCAATGACATGTCACCATATGTATTCTGTAACACTAGACAGAAGGACAGGATTAACCGACTCTCTGGAGTTACATCACAGTTTTGTACCTTGACGCAGTATATCATTTATATTTTATCTGTATCTGCGTAGCTGATGCTCTTATCTAGCTCGTCTTACACTAATTGACCATGCAGTATCTTGTTGAAGGTCATTGTCAAAGAGTCTTTCTTGGGTGATTCTCTGTAAACACATCTTTGTTCTTGTATTTCTCCATTTCTAATTCCTTTTTTGGCCTCCCAGCTGTCACGGCGGTGACCCTCAACCCGGACACAGCCTACCCCTGCTTGTGGGTTTCCTCATGTCGCACCAGCGTCCAGGTGGGCAAAATCCAGCCCAACCTGCCCAACAACCCAGAGCGCTTCACCCGTTACAACATTGTCCTGGGCTCTGAAGCTTTCTCCTCTGGCAGACACTACTGGGAGGTGGAGGTGGGCTCCAAGACTGCGTGGGGTCTAGGTGTGGCCACGGCCTCTGTCAACAGGAAGGAGGAGATCAGCCTCTGCCCAGATGACGGTTTCTGGACACTCGTGCTGAGGGACAACAGCAATGGCACCAGTGAGTATGAAGCATGCACCGACTCAGAGGACAGCTTGATATATCCCTCCAAACCCCCCAGGAGGGTGGGGGTCTATCTGGACTACGGTCGTGGTGAGGTGGCGTTTTACGATGCAGGAGACATGAGCCACCTTTTCACCTTTTATGATGCAAAATTCAAAGAGCCTGTTTTCCCGTACTTTAATCCATGGCCGATTATCAATGGACACAACCGGGAGCCGCTCACCATCGTATCACCACACTGGGGATAGATGCTCTTTTTATCAGAGGACTGATTTGTTCTGCATCAACAGATTCTGAATAAAACTATGAAAGAGATTCAGCAGCCGATGAAATCAGATGGACTCAATCATGAGCCTTCACACTTCTGCCTTGTTAAAAGAATTAATGATGTGGTGATGATGAACATGCAGGTAACTATAATATTCCAGACTTGACATTCAAGGCTAGAAATAAGAAGATGAAACTATTAGGACAAGATAAATGACACTTTAAAGGACATGGCTGGCAATAGTCCACACTTTCCTTATTACTCACCAAATCCTGTGAATCCCATGAAAAGACCAGAAACAACAATGAATTTATCCTATGAAAGTATTTTCTGTGTAATTAGAACCTGATATAGCGTATTCCTCTCCTCAATAGACATTCATTGTTCAATTGTTATCAATGTTATTAAACACACAATGAGCCACACTGTTGCTCTGGATGACATGTTCCTTCATTATGAACCCACACACTGTAGTTATGTTCTGAGTAAATCCCACTAACACCCTGCTGCTGCTATAAACACTCACCAAGTAACCAAATGTGTATTAATGTGCATTTGCTAAAAACTACAGTGCCCAGCTGCCAGAGGGATTAACTTAAAGTGTTTTTTTCTTTTTAATGAAGCTATTGATTTGTGGTTGTTTTTTTTTTGTTTTTTTTTTTCTTAAAGATTTACATCCTTTGTTTAATCTTCTTCTGTAGAAATGAATGGTGCTTGGGACTGGCAGCCAAATAACTACTGAGATATATACTAACAATATTAGTTTTGGTCTTCTCAGGGGATTTGATAACATTAAGAAAAATATAGACTAGCCTGATCCTTTGAGACTTTGTTTTGGTTCTAAATTCTTTAAAAAAGGCAGATAAGGCACATTGCTAAAAATATAGTGACAGACTTTACTGGTAGAGTCTTGGCAGAAAGGTTTTAAAATTGTATTAATTAGTAATGCTGCAATATCTTGCTGCGTGTTTTTGAAACAATATCTAACAATATAACAACATGATATATTTTTGCTGTTTTAAAATATCTTGTCCTGTTATTGTAATGTACATCTAAAGTGTATAACAGATTAAAAAATTAATTTTGACCTCTGTAAGCCTTTACAACGGACACTTCTCACCTCCCACCACCATCACATTTGTCCAACACTACACCTGTAAAATGTAGTTTACATATACCTTCTCTGTGTTTTTGTAGTATCCAAGTTCACATCAGTCTAGATATTTGGCATGAGAGTTTTAACAATGTGATTTCCAACTGAAGTTTTTGTTGGTACACCTGATTCCACCAGAGGGCGCCCAAAACTCACTCTGAATGCAGCATCACTGTGCTGACAAACAGATGAGACCTGATTCACAGGACCCCCTCTCCATCATAGAGACAAACTACTCAAACAAAACTCAAGTCAAGACTCATAGACACATAATTTACAGGAGAGGCTGAATCTCCTGGACAACAAAAATCCAGATCTAAAAGGTCTGGAAATGAGGCATAGAAGGCCAAGGGAGAGAGAAATAGAGGTGCCAGGATATCAGAGATGTGTTGATTCAGCACATTATTTTCCTCCTATACTTTCTTTTTTATTTTGAGACGACCGAGCAGTATTGTCAGGAGAGCAACGTACAAATGTGGTCAAGTTAAAGACGCACACATTTCTTTGCTTCTGTCCCTCATCGAAGGATCCTTACGGTGCATTGAGTAACCTTTTGTCAGTCATTTACTGTGCCACATTGATAAAATAGGTGACTGTACATCAAACCAAACATGCAGGAGTAAAATGCGTCTGGCATGATTCAAACACCAAGAATACATAACCAATTACTGGATTTATTACTCTTTAAATGTCAGGAAATGTCTCATATACTGTATGTCTCAGTATAATGCAACACAACGGATATAGAGCTGAAAAAGCATCCTGTTTCACCCAAAACCTGAACATTTGATTCATGATCTTGTGTTCCACGGCTGTAAATACCTGTTTCTTAAGATGATCGGTTGATTAGGTGTCACTTCACTGTGTTTGAGGTTGTTGTTAACTGTCATGGATACTCACAGTGCTCCTTTTTCACTATCCAATTAAGCAAGGTTAATGAGGTCCCTCGTGCCAGTTGAGCAATTTGATAATCTCTGACTACTATTACGAACAAATAAGTAATGAAAATTAGTCTGGCCCAAATAAAACGTATCTGTTATCCATGTCAGCTTAATCTGAGTGTCATCTGCCTATACATTAACCATAGACTGCTGCTGTTAAGACTATACCTGTCAGGGTTATGTCCAGTCCGACCTTTCTCTCCCCTCACTGTCCTGATCTGTAATTAGATATTATCGCAGGCTGATCAACATGCAGTAACACAAGCCTTCAGTTCTACATTACTGCTCAGCGGCCACTCCTGTCATTCATCCCCGTCTTTGATCACTTTCAGGGAGTGTTAAGGTGAAAGATAAGGCAGAGGTGAAAGAAGTTCTCCTAAAGTAGAAAAGTTTTTTGCCTCTTTCTCAAAGAAAATCTCATTTTTTCATCCCTCATATTTCTTTTGATCTTGTTCATTAATCCTTCATCTTTTCTCTCTCAGATGACTGATCTGTTCCCAAAATACAAACCCTATTTTTAACACTCAGTGCGTGTAACTTAGCTTTTCTGTAATGGATCTCTTTTCTGCCTCCACTCAGGAATTTGCCTCTCCCCTCCCATCAATAATCAATGAGGAGAGGGGCTGAAGAGAGATAGGGAGGCAACTGAAAGACAGGGTTGAAGTGAATAATGGAAACCTCATTAGGAACTGTAGAGAAGTCGAGCTATACATTATCTCAAAGTCTGGAGAATATACACTATCAGAGTTCTAGTTTGGAAGAGAAATGTTTAATATGGACTAAGAGGAGATACAGCGAGAGATGGAGGGAGATTTCAGGGAAGGCAGTTAAGGGCAAAACAGGGGGGAAAAGTGAGACACTTTATCAGCTCAAAGCTGCCAAACACCTGCCTGTGTCCCTGTTTTCTGCTATGAAGAGGGAGACGGGGGGGGGGGGGACAAATTGA